CCCCAAAACCCCAAAACCCCAAAACCCCAAAACCCCAGAAAATTCTAAACTAATAGAAATATAATTAATATAGTCATGTCCTTAGACGATTTTGAGAACTTATCGCTTCTTGGAGACGGAGCTTACTCTTCAGTCTACAAAGTCAAACGAATCTCTGATGGTCAAATCTACGCCCTGAAGAAGGTCAAGGTTGGGAATCTAACAGATAAGGAGAAAGAAAATGCTCTTAACGAAGTTAGAATTCTTGCTTCCATCAAAAACCCATGCGTTATATGCTACAAAGAGTCATTTATTGATCCTGATAGTCAATCACTCTGCTTAGTCATTGAATATGCTGATGACGGTGACCTATTCCAAAAATTATCATCCGCAACTGACGGTTTCGAAGAAACGTTCATCTGGAAAGTCTTTATTCAGGTTGTTAGAGGCCTTAAAGCTCTCCACGATTTGTCGATCATGCATAGAGACCTTAAAAGTGCTAATGTATTCTTGAATAAAGATGGAACTGCTAAATTAGGAGACATGAACGTGAGCAAACTTACAGACTTGAAAGGGCTGAACTACACTCAGACTGGCACACCTTACTATGCAAGCCCTGAAGTTTGGAAAGACCGTCCTTACAGCATCAAAAGCGATATATGGTCTCTCGGGTGAGTTCTGTATGAAATGATCACCTTGAAGCCACCTTTCAGAGCTAGTAATATGGAGGGCTTGTACACTAAAGTGTCAAAGGGATTATATCAACCAATTCCTAAGAAATACTCAACAGAATTGTCAAACCTTGTCCGGTCATTGCTAAAGGCCAACCCTGATAAAAGACCTGACTGAGATGATATAATTTCAATGCCTTCGATAGTTAAAAAGATAGGAATACTCTTTCCCGACAGTGATAATATCTTGGGAAGCAATGAGCTTCTCAAAACAATACGATTTCCTAAGAACTTCATGTATTTAACGAACCAACTTCCGAAGCCCTCTTATGATGAAGAAGTTGATGAAGATTTCTCGGAAAATATAAAATGATCAACGCTTCCTTCCAAAGTTAAAGTAAAACGAAGCACTGAGTCTCTTATTAACCAGAGGTCATCTTCACGATCAAAAGTGCACACTTCGAGTAAGAATTCAATCTTTAGTGAAAGACGAGGAAGCCCTAGCACTGCGAGCAAGCAATCACGAAACGTTTCAAAAGCTAAAAGTATCATGCGAAATAACTTATCAAAATAAGGAGAAAATTCCTCACAAACGGTACAAAGATATTGTTAAGAGCAATCATAAAGCTCTTAGAAACAAGAAGGTAAGTTTCACTCTAATCCATAGGAAGGCATATTCAGCAAGGACATGTCAATGAACATAAATTCACATAAAATAGTACCTCAGAATATTTCATCCAGCCGAACTCCCCAAGGAGGGGTGATTGGGCTCAAAAAGCGCACCAGAGATCCACTCTCTACTTCCAGCAAGAAGTCTCAAGTAGTGAAAAATATGAAAAAGGGTCCTGCTTTTCACAGAAGTAGGCCTCCTCTCTACGAAAGAGATACTCCAGACATGAACATTTCTTCCCTTCCAGTCATTGTCAACTCTTTAAGCCCACCAAACAACAGGATGGGAGACTCAAATGATTCCCAAGATATCTTCAAAAAGTACGAAATCAAGGGTAAAATAATGAAACCTCCCCAAAAACTAACCCATTTACGCTATGGGTCAAAGGTAACACCCCTTCTAACCCCTAGAGATCACCTAAAAACAGCCCAAAGGACTCTTCTAACCCTCAATTAGCCAACTTGGGACACAAATAAACGCAGTTACCAAATCAGTAGGCTCCTTCTTCACCCATAGACTCCCATTCCCAAAACCCGAATCTCCTAAACCATCAAGAACCCCACCATTCCCCACTCAAAAATCCCAAAAACAGCAGAAAACACAGTACTCTCACCCCTAATCTCTCTAGACATTTCCAAAATTTCCCTGCCGTCCTTATCTGGAGCCAAGAACCCGACCAGCCGCAGCAGGAAGGGCCCAGCCAGTCACATACATAAACTTCTGAAGAAGTACTAGACTCCGAGCCTCTCGTTCTATTTATAGCCACACTCAAAAGAGCAAAAAGGTTGACTACAATTATTCAATTTATTAGAAATTTACAGGGGTTTTGGGGTTTTGGGGTTTTGGGG